TTTATTCAAAATTAAACTCTTTTAACAACTTTGAACTAACATTTCTCACTCTTGAGAACTGGTGATGTTTGAAACATCGAAACGTCGAGTAACGGTTAATAACAAGTTAAATTTTTCATAATCTTAGAGTGCGTTGAAAATGGATGCGGACCAGGGATGAAATGTAGCCGATGTCCCACCGTTTGTAAAATAAAGCATAATCTTGTAACCACAGTGGATCTCCATTATAACAATTCTGAGTAAACCCTCGTTTGCAGTCTATGTTTAACACTGAAATAAAGCATGGATTAGAGTTAAAAGATGTGCTCGCGCGCTATGTTGATTTGCTATAAAAAGATCACTTGCGTTCAGCCAATCGGAAAACTGCAGAGAAAAAATTAACGTCGAATTGAAACTAATTTATTAACCAGCCCCTAGTGCAGTAAAACTAAGAACTTTCTTTAGTCTAGACTTCTACGGCCAAAGCTTTTAAATAAAATATAAAAGTTTTAATATTTTCCCATCGCATCTCAGTCCCTATTGTTTATCGTGCCTCATTAACAAGAAGATGAATAGTTTATTGTTTCGCTGTGTACGTCACTTGTTTGTGTTAACGACATCTACTGACTGCGGTAATATAAGCTACAGCACATTTGAAAGTCATCATTTTATTGAAAAAGCTGACAAACTTATTCCGCTAAGTTTGTACGACTCAAAAATTGATTCAACGAATTCCACCTTCATGCCTGACGGGTCTTCAATGATGGTGGTTTTTGGATAATCAAATGTGAGTATCTGTACGTTGTATTTTATATAAATCTGGTAATTTCAAATCAATTCTTAGTGATAAGTTTATATTATCTCTACCGCATTAGGAAGTTTTTTAATCGCCTCCGAGCCCGATATATTGGGATAACTGATCGACATGATTTGAGGTTTATCTTAATATTTCAAACATTTACGTGACTTAAATCACTCATTCGTGGTCCGGCAAACGACAGAACGACTGATGCCTTCAATATGCATAATCCTTTTTTAATCAAAGTTCCATAGCCCTAGCGGTAAACTGACCCCCAAATCTTACCCATTATGTACTGGATCTGAGCAAATTCCACGCATCCTGTATTTATACAAAATGTGATTTTTTCAGTTTCTTCAATGCTATCGTCTTGTCTTGAGAGTACATTGTTAAACACTGCGTGATTCATTGATAAATAAATTATCCCATGTGGACAGCTCCTTTCTGGATCATGATTTTAAAATACGAATTTAAATACCTGAAGATTGAGAACTCTACTATCAAAACTGACTTTAATCAGCGTTCAACTGACAGATATAAAATGGCCCGTACTGTAAACGTTATTTGATTTTCTTAAAAATCGGCTGAAATTTTTAAAGTTGATGAGATTAAGGTACCTGTAACGAACAATTTTCTAATTACTACTAGAAAAGTAATATTTGCTTTTTGAGATAATGACATTGACGTCGTATTAAGATGTTTCCACAGACATTTCCAGAACAACGGAATCACAGTTGACTATCTCATCTATATCATACTCTCACTAAAGCAAAATTCTTCCTGAATTAAAATAAAATCAGTTCTTATCGCCACCGAAAACATTTTTACCCAGCGAACCTTGTAGCCTTGACAACATACGTAGATGTTGATTATGTTCAGCGGCGATTTCACTTCATGTTGCCCTTGGAAGTACCGTCCTTATAGAATACATAAAAGAGAAGTCTCATTTCTTGAATCTTTTTTCGTCGAGAATATATTGCTGGTAGCGTTTATAATAAATTTCAAACACCAATGCTTTGTTCGATCAGAAGTTTTAATTTTCTAATTATGTTTTTGCGTTATTCATATACACTAATGATCTTTCCTTGCATTTTCAGTTCGTTGGCTATCTTGATTAGAATATTCAAAACGACGAAAATCTTCAGATTATGGCCAATTTCATTTCGAAATCCTTGTTGAATTTGTTTTAATATTTTCACTGGTAACTTTAAAATTACAGTTTACTTTCAAATTTGTAATCTCAGAATGTCAACATCACAGTAAGCGCAGCGTGGGGCACTTACATAATACTCAAGGAGCCCTAAAAAATAAACCTATTTGCTGTGCCATGTGTTCGAGCCCTACCCAGGAGCGGCGGGAGATCCTCCGAACCCCTGTGAAACTAAACTTGAATGTAACAAACCTACTCGGGACATGGTAAGGTGGTAGAATTATTGGGTGTCATAACATATGGTTTTGGCTCTCTAATATAATTAACTACCAAGAGACTATAAAGGGGACAGAGAGGGCATCTCCCATATACACCCTATTCCATAGGTAATTCGTCTCGGGTTATTTTTAACACCACAGATCTCAAGGGGGATTAGACAACAGCCAATCACATAGCGCGAATGTGTTCCGCGTGGATGACCCACGCTGAGAGCCTCGCGTCCTTCACGAAATGACGCAGAACAAAATGGGGGAAGACTCGGAGAGCGATTTTGCTATTCCTTTTGTCGACGAAAAAGACTACAGCAAGATTTCTGCGAAAGCTGTGTCAGCGAAACCGAAATTAAAAAAGAATATAATCGCCCTTCCTCTCTTGTATAGAGCAAACAGTAGAGCAGGGAAATCCTTAACACACTGAATATTCTCTCAGGATCATTTATAATTTACAGTTTGAAGAGAGCAATCTCTGGTTTGATGTTTATTTTTTTCAGTCTTTATAGCGATTATTCCTACCCACTTACTTTGTCAATTGTAGGCGAACCCTCCTGAAGCTGAATTTCAAGGGACCATATTCAAGCTCACAAAGAGAAATAAAATTTCGTCGTTGCTTATTTACGTCCTCCATAAAACGCGAAATTAGGCATTTTCACGTCGTAGTCGTGCAAAAACGGGAAAGAAATGAACAAAAAAGTGTGTTGCAAGTGCGAAGTTGTTGTTTTGCTAATTAAACCTATTGTTTTTTTGACGTTCTAGTTGTCGTCCGCGTCGTTGGATCTTAAACAGCCTAAATTGTACAAACGACCGGTTTCAATAGACCGGCGAAATTTCTCATTTTATTAAAGCACTGAGGTTACGACAACTTCGAGTTAAACTGATTTCACGGGTTGTTTTATTTATTTAATTCAATATTTATCCAGGGACATCCAATTTAGCAGAACTAGTTTAAATGGAGCCCGGTTGTCAAAGAGTCCAGCGATTCCTTTTTCCCAGGTGAGCGCCGACTCATTTCACTTCAACATTCAGGAATGCTCTGGATCTTTTTACGCTTTCATTGCCTCTCGCCCGACATGTTTTGCACGGCGTTTGGTCATGCGAAACCTCCGCGAAACATCCACGCCTCGCTCGAGGTAACTTTATCCCGATTCTAAAAATAACTCGAGACGAATTACCTATGGAATAGGGTGTATATGGGGGATGCCCTCTCTGTCCCCTTTATA